CGGAGGTTCTTCCGTGGTACCCACAGGCCCCATTTCAACAAATGACCATGCTGTCTTGAATTTAAATGACACTTGTAATGAGTCTTCTGCAATCGGCTTCACATCAGGCTGCCTCCCGTGATCACTGTAGATCACCTTTCATCCAGGTCTGGTTTCCTGAGCTGCCTCTCCTCGTTTTGAGAGCTGAGGAGGAGCTGGCTGGGACGAGGAGCAGCCCCATCAAGACTTCAAGGTGGTTCAAGGTGGAGGGTGGAAGCCTAGCTCCCTCTGGGACTAGCAGATCCCCAGGTGCTCATCGCCAGGTGAGCGCTTTCTACCTGCCTGGCCCCATGCAGCAGGCACCGGCAGATACAGGCATGCAGGAAGGCTGGCAGGACAGACATCCCCAGGTTTCAGAAGACAGTCCAAATGGAGCCAATGGAGAGGGGTCAGAGGCAGGAGGAGTACACTCCCAGAGAGAAAACGGAGGTGGGCTCAAAGCCCCAAATGCCAGAGCAGAATCAAAACAAATGGCTGGGCCTTGCCCTCCCAGTTCTCCAAGGTCAAAGATGTTGACTATGTCAGCCTCCAGGTGAGACTGCTGGCCTGCACTGCCCCCATCTGCCTTTCCCAGCCACTTCCTTGTTCTGTCCCCTTAAAGATACTACCTAGTATTACAATTTGGAAAATTTCAAGAGATTTTGTGTTACAGGATAGTGGAACCTGTGAATGGAGCCAGGACTCTGGGCAGGAGGCCCTAGAGACACAGCCTTGCACAGCTCTCCTGTGCTTCCCTAGCCCTCCCTCAGGTCCTCTTATGGCACTTTTTATCCTGTGGCTCTGGGGGGACCTCTGAAGACTGTGTTCTGGACAGCACAGAGGAAAGGGGCCACTTGGGAGCAACACCAGCTGGCAGTCAAGGGGGCCTCGAGAGCCTATCCGAGCAGGTGGCTCCATCAGGAAAGGATTGTATTTGCCTTAGATGGCATGCCTGATGCCGAGGCCCGGGGTGTGTTCCTCCCCCTGGATGGGGGTTCCTCATCCGGACCCACTTGAAGCGAAGCTCACCTGGGCCTGCTCACACTCAGAACCTCTGGAAGCACGTGTAGTTTGAAACCTCCCCAGGCTTCCCTGTTCCCCTCTCCCCCAGCACCCGGCCTTGGTGAGGAGGGCTCAGCACTGCTGGGTCACCCCTCAAGCTTGCCCAGAGGGCAGCCTGTCCACTGCCCGGCTGGTTTCATACCATGATGCAGGCGTGGGCCTTGTGGTAGTAGGAGGCATGCATGCTCTGGAACCGCTCCTGGCCGGCTGTATCCCAAAAGTCTGCAACATGAACACAGCTCTGACTGCCTCATGGGGCCGGAGGGCAGAGAGACCCGAACACACTGAGCATCTCTGTGCAGATCTCTGTGTGCAGAAACAGAACCTGCGGGGAGGACAGGGAGGAACGAAGACCACACAGCGCGCAGGTGTGCGTCATCAGGACACAACGCACCTGGGTGTGCTGTGGGAGGTGTGTGTATGGGGGTGCATGGGGGTGGGTGAGAAGAAGACACATGGGCAGGCCAGGAGGAAGGAGAACGCAGACAGGAAGTCCCAAAAGGGAGAAGGCAGGTGTCCCTGTTCTCCCACCCACGAGATGCGGGACCTTCCGAGGTCAAAACCAGGCTGATTTTCCACGTGTGTTGACCACAGATGGCAGACACAGTCAGGCAGGGTGCATGGCCTAACCAAGCAGAAGGCTATGACCCCACAATCTTAAAAGCTTTTGTGGAAGATGATATTCAGACCACAACTGTTATTTCTTTATGCTGGTTAAATTAGAATACCAGGTCAGAGAGCTGGAACGGGGGTCTTGAGTGCCTCCTCCCACCCTCCCTAGGCTCCTCTCACGGTCCTTCCTACCACCCTTAGTCTCTGCTGGGGGTCTCATTTGCTCCCTGCCTGACTCTCTCCCAGGGACTTCCATCCCCTCCCCTTTCCTCGCCCTTGAGAGTCTATGGCTCGGCCTTGTGCTGCTCACCCACAAGGACAGTCTTGCCGTCCACCGTGGCCGTGTGCTTGTACAGGGTCAGGGCATACGTGGACAGCTGTTGCGGCTGACTGCATTCAGGTTAAGGAAAAGAGACGAACGAAAAGGAAGGCAAGGAAGGTGCTTGGGGGGGGGGAGGCACTGGTGTGATGAAACTGGCCCTCTCCTTTTCTTTTTGGAGTTCTTTAGATTTTAAGCTGAATGAATGTGGCAGACAGGATCACTTTCCAGTATCACTGGCACAAACTCCATGGAAAGGCGAAGGGCAGGAGAGGCTGGGAGACATCCCGGCCATCTAAGTACCAGGGACAGCATGGAATGGAATTTTACAAGAGAAGCCATCATAAACAGCATCACGTACTTGGAAAATGCAACCATGGGGGCCCCAGCCTCTTCATGGACGGGGCTCTTGCAGGCCAGAGAGGAAACCCAGCCGTAGGCAGCAACATGACCATTCCAGGGAAAATTAGTCTCTACAAGCTAGACAGCTGACAAGCTGTTTGTGAACTGCCTGTACAGGAAACCCCAACAAAAAGCCTGGGGAATTACTTCCTGAAGCTGCAAGATGCAGGGTGGTCGAACCAGCAAAGCTGGGATGATGCAGGGGCAGCTACAAAGAAGCACTTGGTGGAAGGTGAAGCAAGATATACTCAGGCTCCACCATGGGGGTCAAGGCCCAGGGCAGGAAGCAGGACACTCCAGGGCTCTTTTCTGCCACAGTTCTTAGTAGATTGACGTGGGAAGCTTTTTAAAACCATCCCAGTTGCCAGGGAGTGTCTCACTCCAAGCCTAGACCTTGTGACAATCCATAGGAGGAGGGAGCAGTTCCTGTTTTACAAAGTTCATTCATACCAGAGAATTTTAAAGCATTAGCCCAAGCTTTGAGGTCAGAGAGGTTAAGTGACTTGCCGGAGGCCAGAGCTACTGAGGAGGAGGAGGTGGGGTTTGAATCCAGGCACGTGACCAGGTACTATTAGCCATTCTATTGTCTTTCTGATGTAAAGCAAATGCAAATAGGACACTGGTGAGAACAGTCACGAAGGAAACCTATGCATTCACTCACCTAGCCCTCCTCCTCAGAGCAAAGGGGTGAACGGTGAGGTTGAGTTGGCATGAGGGGAGAAGGGCCCCAGGAACAAGGAGCACTTCAAACTTTGAAGGATACAATCCATCCATGAGAAACCTCTCCATAAGTCTGTAAGGACAGTGTGCAAGGTGATCAGGGTACATCCTTCAACCTTCCTCCTCCTTGCCCCGCGTCATAACCCCTGTCCAGGCTGACAAGCTGGGGCCATTCATTCCACAGCCACACAGTTTCCTTTTAGGACAATGCCCAGGAACTGCCCCCCAACCCTCTTCTTGACTCCCCTTAAGTGCCCGGCATCCCTTAGTTGTAACACCGATCCAGCACCCACAGCTGCTTTGCCGGAGGGCAGGGACCCCACCTTCCTTCTTTTGGAGCACCACAACAGCTGGTAACCTATATTAGTTGAAGGGATAAAGACCGATCTTTGGAGCTCTGCCATATGTCTACACTGGAGAAGTCTGTGTGAACCATGAACTCAATAAATCTAAAAGTGAGTTTGTTTAACCCACTCATCCTGTCCTTGTTCCTGAATTATCTAGTTAGTGGCATCACCCCATTCTCCAAGTCTGGAACCTGGAATCAGCATTACTAGCCCCTCATAACAAAACAGGCTACATTACCACAAGTTCATATACCAGTCCACGCGAGGCTCTCAGACCCACTGTTCCTGCCTCTGCACACTACTGACAAACACCATGATCCCTGCTTTATGCCTAGGAAACTGACACCAGGCAGACTGTGCCCTCTGCCCAAGAGCCATTCCCCTAATATTATGCAGGTCCTCCAGGGCTTTGCTCAAATGTCACCTGAGCAGTGGGACCTTCCCTGGTGATCTTACTTGTAATAGGCAAGTTCTATCTTACCTTGTACTCTGTCTTACCCTGTAGGTAATACCAACAGAAACACTCAGTATTTTACTTATTGACAGTTTACCTCTCTCGACTAGAATGGGAGGCCACGAAAGCAATTTTAGTTTATTGCTGCACAGCCAGTGCCTAGGACAAAAAACATTTAGACTATGACTAGCATGCAAACACCACAGGAAAAACTGTAGCCTCAGTGGGGAGCTTAGATTTCCACCCTTGGGGGGTACCTCAACAACATTACCAAGCTGTCCTAATAGGGAGCTGGAACTTTCTTCTCTACCATATGGCAATGAGACACCCTCCCGCTGCCGCCATCCCATAGTGCCAGTGGAGACCACAGGTGCTGCCTCCCCCCTTCTTCTACTGAAGCAATGCTGCAGGAAGCCAGCTAAAACAGGAGGTTCAAATAAGATTCAGAGTCTCATAACATGATCTTCAAAATATCCAAGTTCCTTCCAAAAATCATTCATCATATTAAGAATCAAGGAAGATCTCAAAGTGAATGAAAAAAGATAATCAATAAATGCCAACACTGTGCTGATACAGACGTTCAAATTATTTGTCAAAGTTTTTAAAGTAGCTGTCATAAATGAGCAACTATAGATGTGCTTGAAATAAATGAAAATACAGAAAGCTTCAATAATGGGCCAATTCCTAAAAGCACAAACAAGCAAAACTAACCTAGTAAGAAAGAGATCATTTGAATAGCTCTGTAACTATAAATCTCTAGGCCCAGATGGTTTCAGGGTAGAATTCTGCCAAACACTGTAAGAATTAATATCAATTTTGCACAATCTCTTCCAGAGAACAGAAGAAGAGGGAATTCATTTTATGAAGTCACTTTATCCTGATATCAAAATCAGTCAAAGACAGTACAGGAAAAGAAAAACAACCCTACAGACCAATATCTTCCATGAATATAGCATCAACAAATTATTAACAGAATTCAGGAACATACAAAAGAAGTTATACACCACGACCAAGTATGATGCATTTCAGGCGTGCAGGACTAATTCGGTATCTGAAAACCAATGAATGCAATCTAACATATTAACTGCCTAAAGAAGAAAATCACAGGATCATATTGATTGATGGAGAAAATGCATCTGCAAAACTCAACATCCATTCTCGATAAAAAAAAAAAAAAAAGAATCGAGGGGAATTAGTATGTTGAAAAGTACAAAATACTGATGAAAAAAATTAAAGATCTGAATAAATGGAGAGACATACTATGTTTATGGATTGGAAAACTCAATAAAAAAACGATGTCAATTCTCCTAAAATTGATATACAGGCTTAATGCAATGCCTATTAAAATTCTAGCAAGATGTTTTATAGGTATCGTCAAGATTGCATACAACTTATGTAGGCAGGCAAAGGAATTAGAAAAGCTAAAACAAATGTGAATAAGAATAAAATGGGAAGAATCAGTCTACCCAATTTTAAGACTTACTATAGCTACTGTAAGCAAGATGTGTGGTACTGGCAGCGGGACAGACACACAGACTAATGGAATACAAGAAAGAACCCAGAAATAGTCTCACAGAAGTAAAGCCAACTGGTTTTTCACCAAAGTGCAGAAGGCAATGGAGGAATGACAGTCTTTCAACAAATGATGCTGGGCCAAGTGAGTATCTACAAAGGAAAAAATAAACCTTTACCCCAAACCCTCATACCTTAAACAAAAGTTAATTCAAAATTGACCACAGATAGGGGCGCCTGGGTGGCTCAGTCGGTTAAGCGTCCGACTTCAGCTCAGGTCACGATCTCACGGTCCGTGAGTTCGAGCCCCGCGTCGGGCTCTGGGCTGATGGCTCAGAGCCTGGAGCCTGCAGCTTGCTTCTGATTCTGTGTCTCCCTCTCTCTCTGCCCCTCCCCCCATTCATGCTCTGTCTCAAAAATAAAAAAAATAAACGTTAAAAAAAATTGAAATAAACAAAATTGATCACAGACTTAAACGTAAAATGTAAAAATACAAAGCTTTTACAAGAAAACACAGGAAAAAGATCTTTGGGACCCAGGGCTTGGTAGAGATCAAAGTCCATGACTTCAGTAACATCAAAAGCATGATCCATAAAAGAAACAAATGGACTTCATGAAAAGTAGAACCTTCTGCTCTATGAAATAGCTTGTTACAAGACAGTGGAAGACAAGCTCTCAACAGGAGAAAATGTTTGCAAAGAGCACATCCAGCAAAGACCAGTACCTGGAAAAATAATAGCCAAAACTCTACAAGGAAAAAAACTCTCAATTAGAAAATGAGCAGAAGGCATGAAGAGACACGTAACCAAAGAGGAGATGTTCTACATCACCAGGCATTAGGGACATGGAGAGTAAGACCATGCTGAGCTATCACTACATGCCTGCCACGATGGCTAAGATAAAAATTAGCAATAACACTAAATGTTGGCAAGGATGCAGAAAAAACTGCATCTTTCACACATTACTGGTGGGAAAACAGACATTTTGGAAAATAATTTTATTTCTTTTTTAAAACATTTATTTATTTAAATTCAAGTTAGTTAACACACAGTGTAGCACTGGCTTCAGGAGTAGAACCCAGTGATTCATCTCTTACATATGACACCCAGGGCTCATCCCAACAAGTACCCTCCTTAATGCCCATCACCCATCTAGCCCATCCCCCACCCACTTCCCCTCCAGCAACCCTCAGTTTGTTCTCTGTATTTAAGAGTCTCTTATGGCTTGCTTCCCTCTGTGTTTTTATCTTATTTTTCCTTCCCTTCCCCTATGTTCATCTGTTGTTTCTTAAATTCCACAT